AACTCTTTTGCCAAAATTGAATAAGTGTAAATTGGATTTGAAGCAGGAGGATCATTTGATTGTTCTGTTTTATTATCTTAATTTGTAGGTTGATCTTTATTTTAATCAATTAATGGATCGATCATTGGAATGGTTTCAGTTATCGGGGGGTTTTCAGCAATAGGTTATTCTGTTGGCTAATTTTGAGTTGAAGTCTCATCCAGTTATTCATTCAATTCTTATTATTATGCCTAAGTTACGACATCATTTTATTAATCCATTTAATTAATAGTATATCTATAACATTATAAAAACTATAATTAAATTATTCCATTTACTAATAATTAAGAAACACTGTGAAAACATATAATTAAATTAGACTTTATTATTTAATCCTAAATATTAATAAAGAAAAAAGAATTTGCTTCTATTGTGAAGAGATAATAAAAATATTGTAATTGGAATAAAAATATTATCATGAAGAAGATCTTTCTAATAAGTACACTTTGACGTTTTTGAGTTTAGTTGCCAATATTTCTTCAATTTATCTAATTATTGAAATTTCTTATTATCTATGTTCAGTATCAGAAGCATATTAAGTTCTCCATCCATCACATTCACCTTCTTTTTATTCTTTACCTGAAGTGGCAGCATTTAATTCATCAGTAGCATCTTCTTTTCTCTTTTTTTAGAGATCTAATGCTTATTCATTATCTTTTAATTGTCTTTCAGAATCTTCTCTAGCTGATGACAATGATTCTCTTTAACTTTCTATTTCAACCATTAATCTTTCATAATCTAATTAAGCTTATATTTCAGATTATCTGGCATCATGTAGACTTTATTCCAAAGATGCACTCACTTCACTCAATTTATTTAAAACATTGTTTAATTGATCTTTTGAGAATGTTGATGCAACTTACATTAATGCTAAAATTGGATTTGATGCACCAATTTAATTTAATTATGTTAAAATTTAAACTACTTCTTAATCAGGTTAAATTGAGGATAATTTGGTAAATATAACTTCAATAGCTTCTATCACATTTTCAGTTTCATGTTCAAATTTTATAAAATCGTCAGCGTCATTAGCTCTTTATTCAGTTAATTATGTTTCTTATTCATTTAAAATATCAAGTTAATATTTTTTTGTTATCAACATCTTAAGCCAATTATTCGACTTTTGAAGTTAATGTTGCTATTTCTGTTGTAGAATCTGTTATTTCAGCAGAAGCATAATCTATTCTTCTATTGTATTAGTAAATTTCTGTTTCACAATCAACTTCATCTTAAGCATGCTTTTAATCGGCTTCTTATTAATTAAGAATTAGATTTTCCCTTAATTATTAAAGCATCTTTGCAATATCTGACAATGGGGCTTTATTGTTTAATTAAAGGGCTATTGTGTCTAATAGTTTTTTGCCTAATTCATGCTCTTCCATAGCTTCAAGTTAAGTAAAAACAGCCTTTGTAGGATCGTTTGATCTTTTAACAAAAACTGATTGTGTTATACTTAATACAACCAAAATCAATAAGACTTTATTCATTTACTATTGATTTATTGTAAATTCGTTTTTTGCTTTCAATCTATTGATCTGTTAATTCACTTTTATTTTACTAAAATGTTTTATAGAATGATTTCTTTCTTATCATTATTAATTCTGCCAATAAATTATTATTTAATTAAATTATTAAGAGTGAAATAATAAATATTCTTATTCTATTCATGGTCATTATTTAAGTGTTATATAATAAAATATTCTTAATCATTTCTTTATTATTATGTAATAATCAACACTAATTTTAACAATTAATCTAATTAAAAAAAATAACATTCTTTACCCTTTCTTTAAATATTCATCATTATTATTAGGTTTTTTTTAATATTACTTCTTACTTAATGTTTTCTAAAAACTTGAAGAATTTAAATATTTTGATTTTCATTTAATTGCATTTTGGTAATAATCTCTTCTCAATTTCCAACCAAAGTATTATATAATATTTTATTTTTTCCATCCATTCTTTGATTTAAATAAAGGGAATTTTGATTAATCCTGTTAGGTAAGGAGAATTATATAATTATGTTGATTAGATGTTAATATTATTTTTTTGTTATTATATTACTATTTATAACAAGTCTTGTTATCATTATAATTAATTAATTATTATGAGAAAAAAACCTAGTTCACCTTACGCTGAATTAATTGAAGCTAACAAAAAGATTTTGTAAGAAGATGGAAAATATTTGGATTACTCAAACATACCTATACCGTATAGTTAATCATTTTAACAACTTACTTAATTTCGTATTCCATAATATTTTGAGTTATTACATCGTAAGAATTAAAAGAAAACTGAAATTCATCAAGAATTCAATTAACCTAATATCAACCAAAACAATAATAAGGCTGAGCGTAATATTGTTAATATTTTTAGCTAATCTAAAAAGATAACAATAGAAGATGATAAAAAGAAGGCCATTTTCTATGAGCAGGTTTTAAACTGCATAATTAGAGAGGTATATAGTATAAAGAAAGAAGTAATTAGATCTCATCAGGTTCTTTTAATAGAGCAAATTATACTCTCAATAAGATTTTAAGCAGTCTTCCTATGAGCCAGTTACATTAAATACATGAGGCAAAGCAGGAAAATATCCAGGCTTTAATTTAAAAAAGAAGGAATAAACAGATGAGAATGGTTACTCCTAAATTTAATCTTAGAACAGACTCTTAAATGGCAAAATTTTTTGGGTCATCAAGTATTGTATTAAATATACTATCAAGATATTTTCCCTACTTTATCTACATTTAGATTAAAAACCCTTTAATGATTTATAAGTTGACGTTTTAATTAAAATCTTATTTAATTCTTAAACATCTTTGAAATTATTAACTCATTTTTGAATTATGGATTATAAATAGACTGCTTACATAATAAGGTTAGAATATTTTCAAATTAAAAAATAATTTAGCTAATAAATTCATTTATGTTTTTTATGCTAAGGTTTACTTTCGCTGCTACTGCTACTACTTTAGCTACTGCTAGCACTTGCACTTCTACTTCTGCTTCTGCTTCTACTATCACTTAAACTTTCACTTTGACTAGGACTAGGACTTGGACTTTTATTTTTTTTTTTCTGATCCTTTTTTTCTTTTTCTTTTTATTTTTTTTCCTTCTCCCTTTCTCTTTCTCTTTCTCTCTCCTTTTCTCGTTTTC